TTCATACCATAGTGAACTACATAATAAAGAAAATGAACAAACTACTCTATATGCAATATTGATCAATAACAAAACATAGTGGGTTTTGTGGGGAAAACAGAGCTATCAGGCCCTCCCTGGTGGCACAGGGGTTAAAGCGCAGTACTGTGAGGCTGTCTGCAGCCACTGCAGTACTACTTCGATACCCAGTCAAAGAGGTGACCCACACGGTGAGGCAAACCTCTTCTGTCCTGTACGCTGCTCCCCTCAGCAGTGTATTTCAGCCAATCCCCCTATTCTACTCCCACTCTGTCTCTGGTGAATCCTCTTACCACTCACTCCTCTGGCCAATACCCCTGTTCTTATATGCATAAATAAATAAATCTTTTTTTTTAAGCTACAAATGACTGCATATTGTATGGTTCCTTTGATATTATACAACACTCAGAACAGGGAACACTCAACTGTGATTTCTGTAGAATTCTGTAGATTGGTCCAGCCCCTGTGAAAAACAGTATAGAGTTTCTCAAAATATTTAAAATATCTATCATACAATCTAGCAATTCCACTCCTAAGTAACTACACAAAGAATATAAAATCACTGATTTGAAGGGATATATGCACTCCCATCCATGTTCATTCCAACACTATTTACAATATGAATTAGGAAGATGTGATATATATATATATATATATATATATATATATATATATACACACACACACACACACACACACACAATGGAACACTAATCAGCTATAATAAAAGATAAACTCTTGTCATTTGCAATAACATGGATGAAACTGGAGGGGATTTTGCTAAGTGAATTAAGTGAATTAAGTCAGGAGGAGAAAGACAAATACCAAATAATATCACTCATGTGGAATATAGAGGAAACTGCCACAAAAGAACTGACAAAACTAAATCAAATTAAATCTTAGAAATACAACTTCAAAATTGAGGCTACTAGAGAGGGAAGTAGAGTGGGAATGGGAACAAGAGTCTGTGATAAAGGACTATGGGAGCTTGGATGGTGGGGAAGACGTGGCAACACACATCTAAGGTGTGACCCTATTTCTCTAAACCATATAGAGTGTTGTAAACCATGTTACCTCAATAAAGAAAAAAAAAAGAATTTTCTTCCCAGGGCAAATGCAAGAGCAGAGATTGGAGGGGAGGGTGAATGTTCCATAGGAGAATTCTTGACAAGCTTGGTGGTCATGCTTGTCAAGTGCATATATAATGATTTATGCACTTTATTCTACATATACCTCAGTAAAAGCAGCTTACTGAAGTAAACAAATGTTGGTGAGGATGTGGAGAAAAAGGAACTCTCCTACACTGCTGTAGGAATGCAAACTGTTCCAACCACAAGGGAAAGCTTTGTGGAGGTCTCTCAAACTGCTAACAATGAAGCTTCCAGATGATCCAGCAATTCCACTCCTAGGTATGTACCCAAAAGACACAAAAACATTAATTCAGAAGGACATCTGAGTTGCCTTGTGTGTGAACTGAGAGGAGTGGCTAAAGGGTTAGCCATGTGCTGAGAATGCTCAGTTAAAAAGGATGGAAAGGCTAGAAGAACTTTGCCCCATCTGGAAAGTCCCAATACTACTCACATCTTTCTGTAGGGAAACGGCCGCTGCTGTCACTCCTCGCTTCAAGAATCCAAACTTCAGGTCACTCTTCAGGCGCCACTTGTGTATTCTCTAGGAATCCAGAGACCTGGGGTATAGCTGCACAGGACACACCAGGCAGGGGACTGAAAGATAGAGCATGCAGTGAAACTTTATTGAACACATTCTACTTATATGTGCTTTCAGAACAAAAGGCGAATCTGTTCTCACAAGGTTCTCACACAAAGTGTCCTTCAGTACATTAGCAACTTTTTTTTTTTATTAGAATAAGCCTTTGTGCCTGTTTCTCATGAGGAGTAGGAATGTTATGTGCTATACTGATAAGGGAAGAGACCACAGAGACTTCCAAGAACAGCAGCTGCAGGGCATTCCACCTAGCACTAGCACAGCTTCCCATCCTTATGGTGCTAGTGTTCTCAGTGCATGGATAAACCTTTAGCCACTCCTCTGAGGTCACACACACATAGCAACACACCTGTACCCTTATGTTTATTGCTGCACCATTTACAATAAGGAAAATGTGAAATCAACCCAAATGCCCAAAAATAGATGACTGGATCAAGATGATGTGGTGCATATACATATTGGAATATTGCTCAGCAATCAAAAAGATAAACTCATGCCACTTGATGCAACATGGACGGAGCTGGAAAGGATCATGCTTAGTGAAATAAGGCAGAAAGAAAAGGAAAAATACCAGGTGGTTTTACTCATAGCAGGAATGTAAGGGATGAAGACAAAAATAAATACATGTATATAGTAATTGTAATAAAGTAAAAACTAACATCAACAACTATAAACCAGAGAAATTCTATGGGAAAGGAGAGGGGAACAGGAGCAAAACTCAGGCTGGAAGAGCTCATGGGACTATGGTGATGGTACAGGGTGAAGTGGTGGTGGGAAATCCACGGGGATACAACTAAGATGAAAAAATGTACAAAATGAAGAATGATGCAAATATATATAATTAAAAATTAATAAAATTTAAAAATAAAGGAAGATAAATAATTGTGTGGAATAGTCACATTTTAAAAATGTAAAATAGGAGATCAGAAAGTCTCCAAAGAACTTCAGCATGGAGAGTATGATCCAATCTTTATATTCACACTTAGAGTGAAAAACAGACACAGTTCCTACAATTTTAACTTAGCAGTAATTAGAACTGATAGGAGACCATAGAAAGGAAATGACTAGAAATCATGAGTGTAGCTCATTGTGGCCAGGGAACAAATTTCATCAAAGGATGCACTTGGGGATAAAGTGGGAAGCCAGGTAGAGAAAACTTTGTGAAGGACTTGAATGGTGTGCAGTGGAATTGGGATCTATCATTTCAGGTGTAACATGTTGCCATCCTTTGCTATTTGTCTTTGTCAAAATGGGAATTGGTTTTCAGGGGAGAATTATGTTTTATTTTATGATTGGAGAATTAGAAATCTCTGGATCTATCTGTTGAGTAGCACCTGTCTAGACAAGGAAGGAAAAAGACAAGGATGAGAGGTTCTATCATATCTGATATCAATTACAACTTTGTAACACTTTGAAAGTTAGTGATTAATGCTATTTTCCACAATATTTTTCCAAGGTTCTGCACGCAAACTGCACACTTCTACCTCGCAGAACATGTCCATTCATTTGTATAAACACTAATCTCTAGCCTAGGTTAGCCAAATCCCTGCTTTTGAACTGAGTGCTTTGTTACCATAGAAAGCATCTGGAATATAGGAAAATGTCAGAGGTGAGTGAGAGGCCCCACCTGTGAAGGTAGTGCCCTCTGAAGGAATCCTAGAGCACGTCATAACTGAAAGCAACAGTTTTTGTTACCATCAAGAATTTAAAGAGGGGTTTCAACTATGGTTGTATATCAGAACCTTATGTAAATATTTTCTCCTTCCAAGTATTTCTCCACATACCAGAATGGTTGAGGGCTAGGATTTAGCCCAATTATTTTGGTAGCACCTCCAGAAAATAAAACAGCTGACCCCCTTGTCCTAAACAAAGTACTTGAATTATGCCTCGCCAAGCACATGACCAAACCTCCTGAATGACTGGATCTTACAATGGGGTTGTCAGTGCCCACTTGTGGGCCCCCAACCAGTTCTGACATACTGCTAAATGAAGAGGCAGAAAATGAAATCATTCCTGTCTCACCATCTTCCTCCTCATGTCCCATCTATCCTAGCACATTCTGGCTCTAGTTACCCTCAGTGACAGGTTGTTACACAACCTTATTTTGTATTCTCACATCTCTGCACTTTTTTCAGATGCTTATCCCTCACACTAGAATGCCTTATAAACACATCCTAATTCGTCACTTAGAGCTCAACTCCTCCTTGAAGCATGTGCCCCCAATCCAATAGACCTATGACTAAACTGAAATTTATCGCTTGTTTGCATCATACACGAACTGAACCTCCATTAGAGCACCTATTTCCATCCACTTTATATAAAAGTCACTTTTAATAATTAAAGTTAGCCACTCTTTGAAGGACAGATCAAGTGAGAGAAAGTACACATGCTTGAAACTCTGACACACTTAGGTTCAAATCCTGATTTCTACCATTTGTTACTGACTGACTTTGAACAGGTAAATTCACCTCTCTGACCCATCTGTGAAGATATTTCCTTATCTGTAAAATGAGGATCATTAAACTTAGATAACACAGGATTAAATGATTTAATATGGGGAAAACCAAAGAACTAAAAACAATACCGAGTACACAGTAAGTGCTCAGTAACGTTAGCTCTCATTATTACCAACATTGTTTGAACCTACGTAAGAGTTTAAGCTCCATACATTAAAACAGATGTTTGTCCCCTGACACACCTCTACCCAGCACTATGCTTGGTACATGGATGGCTTCTACTCAAAAAACTGCTGCTGAGTGGGTGGATGAATTATTATTATTTTTTGCCTCTCATCCTTAGGGTGAATGAATTAATGAATCCATAAAATAATGCTTATCCTTAGCTTCCTCTGTCGTCTCCACCTCCTCTTCTTCTTCCCCTTCCCTCCTCTCCTCCCCAACCTCTTCCCCTCCCCCCTTCCACTCCCCTCCCCCTTCTACTCCCCCTCGCAATCCTCCTACCTTCCTCCTCCTCCCTGAAACCTCTACTGTCTATTAGCATATGCTTTACACCTCAAAAAGACTTCAAGTAGATCATTAAACATCCCCCCTTCTTTTGAACCCTTTGCTTTATCTCTGTTTACCTCCCCCTTTCTTGAATTCTCTTCTTTAACAATTTTGAGTCCAGCAGCAATCACTTCAGTCACGCCAGCCTGGCAGAGGTAGGGGGCGTGAGTGGGGGACTGGGAGCGGGGCGTTGCCACCACGTCTCAGATCCTGACTGCGCCTGCGTAGGCTGCGGCAAAGCAAAGCTTTCTGACGTTTGTGGTCATTGCTGGCTGGTGCTCGTGTAGAAAGAAGTCTCTCACCAGCTCTCATTAGTGGTCCCCCACAGCTCCGGGTCTCTGCCTTCGGCTTTGTGCCGAGGCGCCAACAAATTTACCATCCGCTCTACGACTGATCGCTGACCTCCCGGTTTCCTGCTCCTGTCTCCTGGAACCATGTCTCTGGTAAGCCAGAATGCGCGCCATGGCAGCGCTGAGACCACTGCAGATTACAGCTACAGCCGGGGTTTGGTACTGGCAACTAATGCCTCTGGGTCTCCCACCTGCGCGCTAGTTTCCAGTGCCCCCCAGGGCTCTCAGGCGCCTATCGACCCTCTGAGTGCCAGTGCTTCCCAGGCTGCGCAGGACCCAAATGACCTGGAGGTCCTGATCGATGAGCAGTCCCGACGTTTGGGGGCGCTCAGGGTCCACGACCCTCTAGAAGACAGGTCTATTGCTTTGGTGAATTTCATGCGAATGAAAAGCCAAACTGAGGGGTCTATCCAACAGACAGAGATGCTGGAGTTTCTCAGAGAATACTCAGATCAGTTCCCTGAGATCCTCAGACGAGCCTCAGCCCACCTGGATCAGGTCTTTGGGTTGAACCTGAGAGTTCTTGATCCCCAGGCTGACATCTATAACTTAATAAGCAAGCGGGGTCTCCAGACCACTGATTGGATAGCAGAATCCCTGGATGTGCCAAAGGCAGGTCTTCTGGCCCTGGTGCTAGGCCATATACTCCTAAATGGCAACAGAGCAAGAGAAGCCTCCATTTGGGACCTACTGCTAAAGGTTGATGTGTTGGATGAGCCCCACCGGATCAACAATGCTTTTGGGAACACAAGGAACCTCCTCACTACTGATTTTGTGCGCATGCGGTTCTTGGAGTATTGGCCAGTATATGGCACCAGTCCTCTGGAATTTGAATTCTTGTGGGGCTCTAGAGCCCACAGGGAAATCACAAAGATGGAAGCCCTGAAGTTTGTGGCGGAGGCCCATGATGAAGAACCCTGGAGCTGGCCAGAAGAATATAACAGGGCCTTGGAGGCTGACAAGGCCAAAGAAAGAAGCCAAGCAGCTGGCCTGGAATTTTGGTCAGAGGACACTATGAATGATAAGGCAAATGATTTGGTCCAGTTGGCCATTAATGTCACTGAGGAGTTGCTGCCTATACATCAAGATGAGCTATTGGCTCATACTGGCAAAGAATTTGAGGACGTGTTCCCAAATATCCTCAGTCGAGCTACCCTGATCCTTGATCTATTTTATGGGTTCTCTCTGATTGAAGTTGACACCAGTGAGCACATCTACCTCCTTGTCCAACAACCAGAATCTGAAGAAGAGCAATTGATGCTAGAGAGCCTGGGGAGACCCACTCAAGAATATGTGATGCCTATCCTGGGCTTGATCTTCCTGATGGGCAACCGTGTCAAAGAGGCCAACATCTGGAACTTGCTTCGGAGGTTTGGTGTGGATGTCGGGAGGAAGCATGCCATCACCTGCAAGCTTATGAGACAGCGCTACTTGGAATGCAGGCCGCTGTCCTACTCTAATCCAGTTGAATATGAGCTTCTATGGGGTCCCCGAGCTCACCTTGAAACCACCAAAATGAAAGCCTTGGAGTACATGGCCAGGCTCTACAAAAAGCGACCACAGGACTGGCCAGAGCAATATAGAGAGGCTGCTGAAGATGAGGAGGCCAGAGCCAGATCTGAGGCCACTTCCATGCTCTTTTTTGGCCCTATGTGAAGTCTGGGGAAAATATATCACTTCAGTTGGGTGGCATCACTTAAAAGGGCTGTGGGAAAGAGCCCCATATTGGAAGCAGGGCAAGATTGGAGTGAATTACAATACTGCTTGCTATTTGTGCTCCATTTCTAATAGTATTTACTTTTTAATATACCCTTGAGTTAGGCTCATAATCAGTGTTTATAAATGAAATAGGTCATTTGCCATCCCTTTCTTGTTTCAATATAAAAGTTCAAAAAGCTGTGTAAAAATGTGTTGGTAATATTTACAACATTCTATGATATGAAAAAGAATATAAAGTTGTTGCTTAACCATTTGAAGTCAGTAAAATAGTATGATACAACAGTTAAATAACACGGTAAACACACACAACAAAAATAAACACAAAATCACTTATCTGTGGATGTACTACCTTTGTGTCTACTGTTGTGTAAAATAAGGGATTGACATTTACCTGTATTTGTTCCAGAGTGTAGTGAAAAATAAAATCGTTATGAATTAGACCACATGCTTAAGCAGCCTTTTATTAAGCCATGCTCTTAGCAGTGTTATGGTTGGAAATATAAAGTTGCAACCCAACTTAGCACCACGACTTACATGGGAGGGGCAGTGAAAGTAAACCAGCAATTATATCATTGCTGTTGCAAGTGGTACTATAAGGGTAAGCTTAGAGTGCTCTGAGAGTCCACAGGAGTAACTCCCAGCTAAACTGTAGGTGCTGGGTGGTGACAACAGAGACAGCAACAGGGTACAGGACCTAAAGAGGAAGGGACAGGGTATCAAGCAAAGGATAAGTGAGGGAGTGTTAGGGGTGATGGAGGAGGTGGTATGGAGGGCTGGGGACAAGTCCCTTAGTAACTTGTATTGAGAGAGCTGACGTTTGGGAGAGGGAAGGAGTGTCGGTAAAGACCCGGCCATTTTAAATGGGGAGATTTAAAATAAGCTCAGAAAGACAATGTGAATTCAAGGGAAGAGTGGAAGAGATAAAACTGATGGAGATGACAGAGACCCATATCCCCAGAGTGGGTCTTGGGAATCAACAGTGGCTCTCCTGAAAACAGCTGGTCTTGGACCTTGGGTCAAACACACAATCCAGCTGGAAACCTGCCTGGCCACTTCTGCCAGCCAGTTTGTTTCTGTTAAGGTGAGTATTAGTGTTCTGGCTCTCTTCATCCTGATCCCACTTGCTGCCTTCTGCCGCTGCTGGTGGCTCTCTTCAGGCCTTCTTGCAGCTAACACTTCCGTAAGGAAGCACTGGCTCAGTAGTGACTGTCATATGAAAGTCATGTATGCCGGGGGTGGGGATGTGGTGAGAAGATGGGAGGGGGGAAGAAAGGAGCTGCTGACCAGTAGTTTCATGCTCCCTCACCAGACACCCACAGCTTTCTGCCCTTTCTTTCATTTAGTCAGTAAGGGCTTACCCCCAATTGCAACCTCCTACCAAATGGGAAAGAGAAGACTTTCCTCGCATTTAAATCAGTCTCAGGAAGATAATGGCAGAACCATCTTGCTAGTGGAGGGGATAGGAAGAAAGGAGATAACACTCTCTTGGTCCCCTAATCAGGCCTCAAGGCAGAAACCAAAATACAGCCGCGGGTTTGGGGAAGCCCCTAAGCCCCTACGCAGGCGCACTCTGTGGTTGCCAGGGAGACTGTCCAGTTGTCTCTTGGTAGCCTCTGTGGTAGTTTTGTAAAGAAAACAAAACACAGATTGGGTAATTTCCGGTAAGAGAAATGAGTAACTGCAGAGTCTGAGCCAGAGGGGCTCTGGGATTTGGGATGGGGGTGGAGTTGTAAGGCAGACAAGTATCCAAAAGCAGATCTGGGGCCTTGAAGTAGGGTGTTGCCTATGCACTAAACAGAATGTCTCATTCGTCTGACTACTAGGACCCATAATCTGTGCGTACTTGTGGGGCTGGGGAGGAAAAACAAGTTGATTAAGGTTCCAAATTTTTCTTTCTCTGATATTTTTTTATTTCTCCAGCATATCAGTTCTTTTGGGGGCACCAGTAGAGAGAAGCCTGCCATTGGAAAGTGTACCATTTGGATAAGCAATAATGTAAAGCTACCTAGTTTTTTTTTAGAACTAAATTTTGGCCCAGGCACTTTAATAGAAGATTCTTTATTTCCTTTAGTGTTAATCTTGCCATCAGTGCTCCAAGAAGCATTTTAATGTCCCTATTTGATGCTCTAGGAAAGTGATGTTTAAGGAATATGGCTTAAGATTTAAGGTCACACAACCAGTAAATGAGACCTGGAATTGGGATGTAAGACTGCATTTGTCTAAGGTTCATACTGTTCTAGTTCATTGCATCGCACGCCCCCTCCAGCTGTTTTCACTTATATTTGTTGACTCTCAATAAAGAACTGCATGCCAGGAAGGGGTAAGATGATAGCTCTCCCAAAGGGGATGAGTGTGAGGTTGAAATTTTCCAGGCTTTTCCTTGGTTCATCTCTCAGGCTCCATGTTAGCTGACTAGGTGTAGAATGTGTGTTTCTGTTTAATATTCCTACTCTGTACTGTGAGCCTTCCCCAGTTTGCTCTCTTCCTACAAGTCTCCAAACTTATCTGCTGGCTTTCACCCAAAGAGAGTAGAACATTAACATTTCTGGACCTCCAGAAGTATTAAGCAATGTTTTTTGCAATATTGAAAGAAAAACTACCTACACAGAGCTCCCACCTTGCCCAAGAAGCTCAGGATGCAAAAACGAGTGGGAAATAGCCCAGTTCAGAGCAGTCACATGCAGTTTCCTGAAAGTGACAAAGGTGAGACTTGTGTGGAGCACAGGCCTATGATGAGGCAAAGACTGCAGGCTCTCTAGCAGGAGCCATTCTTTTGGAGGCCGTGAAGATGTAGGTGCTCTCCTTTCTCCACCCACCAAATTAGAATTAGCAACCCCTAGGAGAAACTCAGGGATGGAAGTGGGTGTCCAATAAATAAGATTTACAAAGGATGTTCCAACATACAGTCCACCATTAACCTTCAGAACACTGGACCAAATATTTCATCTGTGTGAATTAATTTGGAATATGGCACATTCTGAGTTCACTTGCAGACCCTGTGGGCTATCAATACCTACCAAATGTTGAATTTTGGTGAGGTTGGGTCTACAGATTGGGTGTTGGTTAGATATGGGCTCATCATTTTATACATAAAATGCTCTCTACAGTATATCCAGTCCCCTTTGAACTGTGATTGGGATCTTTCCTTGGGAGAAAACATTGAGAATATATTCTCTTTCAATTGCAGAGGCCCAGGAATGTCTTCTCTTGCAGAAGATATGTAGTTAAGGGAGTATTTTTCTGCCCTTTTGTCCAACTGTTTGTATACAAACTCAAGTCATCACAAATAAGAGCGGCTTCCCTCCTTGGGAGGGCTCTAGGCAAAAGAGTTCTCTGGGATGGCCCCAACTTGCATTGCTCTCCTTCTGCAAGACAGTACTGCTGTCCTAGGTGATATTCTTTTTTTTTTTTTTTCAGACAGTAAGAGAGATCGCCCAGAGATCCAGTTTTTTTTTTTTTAAAGATTTATTTGTGCATACAGAACTGGGGTACAGACCAGAGGCTCAGGGGCGGCGAGAGGCTTCGCCGGAGACAGAGTGGGGAGTAGAACAGGCAGATCAACGAAGTACACTGCTGAGGGGAGCAGCGGGTGGGTCTGAGGGGAGCAGCGGGTGGGTCAGGAGAGGTCTGCCACGCCATGTGGTCAGCTTCGGGGCAGGAGGGAATCGAACTCATGGGGAAGTGGCTTTAGCTTCTTGGTGCTGTGCTTTAACCCGCTGCGCCACCAGGGAGGGCCAGAGATCCAGTTTTAAAGGCCAGATGTGGAGATTGGTTGCACACAGAACTGCTCTCTTTTGTCTGGATTGGAGGATGGAGGGAATATAAGGCCTGGGAGAGAAGAAAGGAGATAGTATAGACCCAACTATTAACTATTTAAATAGTAAATATGCCCTGGGCATCTTTATACTTCTCAACTGGGATAATGGCAGTAGCCAGAGACAAAATCATCAGCTCTGATAGGAAACAAACTGCCCTTGACGTCAGTGGCAGAACCAAAGTCTCATGTCTAGCCAGCCCCACAATGGGACAGACTAAACTCAGCCCAATCCTTCGCTAGTTCCACTTAAAGTTATCTTGGCCCCTGAGACATCTACGCTGGAAGAGTCCCTGAATATCAGGTTTGTCTAAAGACAAACTACCCAGTTCAACATAACAAGCAATTGCTGAACACTTGCTATGTGCTAGCCTTGCTGTATTACACCCTGGAACACAGGAATGAATCAGATGTGGCTCCCACCTTATCTGAGTTTCCACTTTGTATTCAACTTCAGTCTGTTCAACTATATGACCAATCTATTTAGGTTTTTAGTTCAATGAGTACATTCTTCATTTCAAAAATTTCAAATTGTTTCTTTTTCAAATACATATTATTTTTTTAAATGAGGACCTTATTCTTTTCTTATGGATTCCAGTCCCTTTTCCATCTCCTTAAACATTTTAAGCAGTTATATTTTAAAATTATATTTGTATTTGTTTATGATTGCTCACTTTTTAGTCATAAATTCTGTCACCCATTAGGTCTACTTAATATCGAATAGTGGTAAGTTTTGTATGTGCCTTGTAACTCATATATGAGGAACTCTAGGGTACTTCTGCTGCTAGCCTCTCCCTCTTGGGAAGGAAGAATGGAGCTATGTGTAGTCTCGTGCAATTATGCCAATCTAGTCCTTCCAGCACAGCCACAGTCTTTTTGATTCTGTCAAAGAAAATACCTCCTGCCCCATTAGGAGTCTTCTCCTGTACATGTCTTTGAGATATTTATTGAAATATCTGCTGTCCTTTGTAACTCATTCATTTTATTGTTTACTGCTTTTGTAAATCTTTGGATTGGACTTTGAAAATAAGGAAGAAAGAGGGATACAGTTTTACATTTGGGTTACAAATGGGTAAAAGATGAGTGAGCCCTAAATTCTCACAGCAAATATTCTGGGTTTAATTCTTAGTAGAATTAGGGACCTTCCTTTCAATGAAACACTATAAAATATTTGGGAATGATGAAGTAGAAGAACAGTAAAGGATAACAGGTGATGCTAAATACATAGTGTTAAATAAAAAATGCAAACTATGATATAATAGTCAATACTGTCTTATAAAAAGTTTGTGTAAATAATGAACCATCAAAGATGCCCAGGTCTGATCCCTCAAACCTGTGACTATGTACCCTACATTGCTAAAGGGACTTTTCAGGTGTTTTTAATTAAGGATATGGAGATAGGGAGATCCAGATAGGCCAAATGTAATCATGATGATCTTTACAAGAGGATGACAGAAGGATCAGAGTTAGTGGTAGGCCATGTAGCAATGGAAGTAAGAATGATGTGATGTGAGGAAGTGATCATAAAATAAGAAATGCAGACAGCTTTTAGAAACTGAAAAAGGCAAGGATTTAAATTGTACCTTCAGAGTATTGAGAAAGAACTAGTTTTGCTGATAC